CACATCTGTTGGTAAAGGTAATAGCTTAAATTATTTGGAAGTGACAGAAATCTGGAGTTTGGCTTTAAAGCTGAACTCCAGGAGATGTCTTTTCCGTATACAGTCATGGCCGAAATTGTTGGCACCCTTGATATTTTTCCTGAAAATCAAGTATTTCACACAAAAAAGGTATTGCATTAACACATGTTTTGCTATACACATGTTTATTCCCTTTGTATGTATTGGAACAAATATAAAACAGAGGCAGAAAAGCAAATATGACATAATGTCACACAAAACCCCAAAAATGGGCTGGACAAAAGTATTGGCACCCTTAACTTAATATTTGGTTGCACACCCTTTGGAAAAACATAACTGAAATCAGTCGCTTCCTATAACCATCAATAAGCTTCTGACACCTCTCACCCGGAATTTTGGACCACTCTTCCTTTGCAAACAGCTCCAGGTCTCTCTTATTGGAAGGACACCTTTTCCCAACAGCAATTTTAAGATCTCTCCACAGGTGTTCAATGGGATTTAGATCTGGGCTCATTGCTGGCCACTTCAGAACTCTCCAGCGCTTCTTTGCCATCCATTTCTGAGTGCTTTTTGACGTATGTTTGGGGTCATTGTCCTGCTGGAAGACCCAGGATCTTGGACGCAAACCCAGCTTTCTGACACACTGGGCCCTACAGTGCGACCCAAAATCCTTTGGTAATCCTCAGATTTCATGATGCCTTGCACACAGTCAAGGCACCCAGTGCCAGAGGCAGCAAAACAACCCCAAAACATCATTGAACCTCCACCATATTTTACCGTAGGTACTGTGTTTTGTTCTTTGTAGGCCTCATTCCGTTTTCGGTAAACAGTAGAATGATGTGCTTTACCGAAAAAGCTCTATCTTGGTCTCATCTGTCCACAAGACGTTTTCCCAGAAGGCTTTTGGCTTACTCAAGTACATTTTGGCAAACTGTAGTCTTGCTTTTTTATGTCTCTGTGTCAGCAGTGGGGTCCTCCTGGGTCTCCTGCCATAGCGTTTCATTTCATTTAAATGTCGACGGATAGTTCGCGCTGACACTGATGCTCCCTGAGCCTGCAGGACAGCTTGAATGTCTTTGGAACATGTTTGGGGCTGCTTATCCACCATCCGGACTATTCTGCGTTGCAATCTTTCATCAATTTTCCTCATCCGTCCACGACCAGGGAGATTAGCTACAGTGCCATGGGTTGCAAACTTCTTGATAATGTTGCGCACTGTGGACAAAGGCAAATCTAGTTCTCTGGAGATGGACTTGTAACCTTGAGATTGTTGATATTTTGCCACAATTTTGGTTCTCAGGTCCTCAGACAGTTCTCGTCTCCTCTTTCTGTTGTCCATGCTTAGTGTGGCACAGACAGACACACAATGCAAAGGTTAAGTGAACGTCTCTCCTTTTTATCTGCTTTCAGGTGTGATTTCTATATTGCCCACACCTGTTACTTGCCCCAGGTGAGTTTACAGGAGCATCACATGCTTGTAACATTCTTATTTATCCGCAGTTGTGAAAGGGTTGCCAATACTTTTGTCCAGCCCATTTTTGGAGGTTTGTGTGACATTATGTCGAATTTGCTTTCTTTCCTCCCTTTTTTTGTTTTGTCCCAATACACACAAAGGGAATAAACATGTGTATATAGCAAAACATGTGTTAATGCAATACGTTTCGTGAGAAATACATGATTTCCTGGAGAAATATCAAGGGTGCCAACAATTTCGGCCATGACTGTACTTACATTGTACCAGCTTGGATGAATACAGCACCTGGAAGATCATGGGTATTACAGCAGGTAGCACAGATTACTAAAGTCATTTTTTAGCATCCCCAGAGGCCAACCAAATATTACATACAAATACTTACATCGAACCAAGCTGGACCAATGTAAGATTGCTATGGAGTGACAGTATGTTTGATGGGACTGACACTGTAAGGGATGGTGTCAATGGGCATTTGTTTGCTTGTTGATAGTAATGCAAAAGCAGCTTGAAGCAGATTGATGCAAATTAAAAGGAGGTCAAATGCAGCTGTCACTCTAAAAACCTCTCAAACTGATCTCACATGCAAGCTGAACGCCCCTGACTGATGCAAGCTGCATTCACCGTTGACACAACCCATACAAAGTGGAGGTGGAGAGAGGGGGTGTGGGGTGGTGTAAAGTGTTACTAAACCCAGGACCCTGCATTCACTATATCTGGTCTCCCACAGTACACACAACATGGAAATGCAAATATTTTAGTAAATATAAACTGCTAAATACCTTTTCTCATCAGCAGTTAGAGCAGTCTTGCAACTTCTATCAGTGTCCAGCTGAGCACTGGTTAACGCTTGTAGGAGTTTTCATTCTCCTTTCACTGTCCTATGAGACTGCATGACCCCTGCCCACCTGTCTGAACAGTGCCGATTGGCCCTGTGCTGATCACATGCACTCTCCTAAGAAAAAAAAAACTCTCTAGCAATACACACTAAACTGAGCATGTGCAGCTTGCCCCAAGGCTCTGTTTTATCAGGAGATGAGTCGGGGACAGTGGAAGAAGGGGAGGATCAGAGATTACAGGATTAAACATCCTTTTTACACAATGCAGAGGATTAACCCCTTAGGTTCCACAGTGAGTATAACAAGCATGCTTTACTGCATATACAGACTGATCTAACTGTCCTATCCTACTTTATAGAGGAAGAAGTGATGTTGCTGGGTCCTCATCCCTATCTTCCGGATAACAATGCATCCTAATGGAAAGTTGGAGCTGTACAAGTCCACACAGCATACAAATCAAGCTTCACTAATTAAACTAATTACAAAATAAATATGTTAATTAAAAAAGAAAACTGGCTTAACATCACTTCTCTTTGGCATTGTGCCCGGGTGTAGGAGAAGCAAACTGGATGGTTACACAATGTCTTCTATACAGCATATCTAGGATAACACAAGAGTGGTGTATGGAAACACAGGTCACCCTGGACATCGGTTAGGTGTTTCTGTAACTACAAAGTCAGCTCTCAGCTACGGGACCTTTCACATCCAACTTTTATATATTATTCATTTATTACAGGTACTTATTTATTACAGGTCCCTAACCCTCAAGGGGTGTACAATCTAAGGTCCCTAACTCACATTCATACATACACATACTAGGGCCAATTAACCTACAGCATGTGTTTAGAGTGTGGGAGGAAACCGGAGCATCCAGAGGAAACCCACGCAGGCACAGGGAAAACAAGCAAACTCCAGGCAGGTGGTGCCGTGGTTGGGATTTGAGCCAGTGACCCTAGTATTGCCAGGCAGAAATGCTATTTATTTAGCCACTGTGCTGCCCAACAGGTCAGCTTTAAAGCAGGACCTCGGGTAAACAACTACTCACCTGGTCGAAATGCATTTATATTTTATGAGCTGTTTTAGAGCCAAAGAATGTCTACGTCTGTTTGGCTGGTCTGATTTGCAAACCCCTGTAGCCCCCCAGCCAGACATGCGACACTACCATTTTCTATTTCAGCCTGTTTCATCTCCTTGCTCATTGTAATCAGTCAATGACCCCTGTGCTGCCAGGCAAAAGTGCTAACCATTTAGACACTGTGCTGCCCACAGCTGACAAATGTGAGATTGTAAATCAGGTCAGTGAGAAATCATCAGCTGTATAGATAATGATAATATCCTCTTATTTCTGTTATGTCCAGGCCCCAGCAGAACAACCAACCCAAGTGAGTTGCAAGCAATAGAATGTGTGAGTCTTTCAAGAAGTAACAACACATCCTAAAGGAAGCGTGGCAGTGAGACTCCCTATACTTAGAACAAACAAGAGATCCCTGTGCTCAAATCCCAACAGCTAATGCATGCATTTATCCATCAGGTGCTAAAGGAGTGTAACCACATTAACGCTAGAAATTCTAAAGGACCCTCTGCACACTGGTATATACCCTTTCAAGCAGACTGTGCAATAAATAGGGATATTTAGTTCACACATGTTGCAATACATGCTTAAGCTGGCCAACTGTGTCAAAGTAATCCATACAGCTAGTGCATGTGTCCTTCAGAATTTCTAGTGTTAATATGTGGTTACACCCCTTTAGCACCTGATGGATAAATGCATGCACTAGCTGTTGGGATTTGAGCACAGGGATCTCTGGTTTGTTGTATTGTTGGGTCAGTAGCCAGATCTGAACCTTGTAGCTCTCCCCATTGTGTCTTTTCCCCTATGTTAGCATTGTGTCCACAGTAGCATTTGCGTAGGCAGGGCAGAGTAGGAATGGCCATAGAGGGATTACTTTGACGCAGTTGGCCAGCATGTATTGCAATATGTGTGAACTAAATATCCCTATTTATTGCATAGTTTGCTTGAAAGGGTATATACACCAGTGTGCAGAGGGTCCTTCAGAATTTCTAGTCCCTATACTTAGAAGCGCACAATGTCATGCCAGTGGTATTTCCAAGGCATATCCAACATAAATCAGTCCTCACTGAAACTGCTAAAAATCAAATTCTATACTTATTTCTCTCTGCCACCTACCACCCTCTCTCATTTGGAGGGATTGTCCCACTTTCGGAACCAAAGCCTGATGCCCCTCATTTCTCCCCAGTTGGCCTTCTTTTTCGTCTGATGAACGGACCTCAGTAAACACAAGGTTTAATAAATATTTACCAACAGAAAAAATTTCATCCAACCTCCACATTATTTTTATTAGGTGAGAGTCTCAGCATAGCCATAAGCAAACTGTAGGCCTTGGGATGCCAGTGTGGATCCAAGGTCAGCGCTCACCCCCAAACAGAACAGAATGTAGCATGAGGTTTGCTAGGTGCCCCCGTGTTGGTCCGTCAGATGTCCAATTAGCTGGCATGGTTTGGGCACGACCTTCTACTCGTTGGAGCACATGGCAAGGGCACACTGTCCATTTCTGCTGAGAATGCTCCCCCAAGATATTACACTAACTAATTGGGGCAGCACAGTGGCTAAATACCGTATTTTTCGCTCCATATGACGCACCTAGGTTTTTAGAGGCAGAAAACGGGAAAAAAATATTCTGAACCAATGGACTGCAGACATAATACAGGAGATGACCAGAGACTGCGGACACAGTACAGGAGATGACCGGAGACTGCGGACACAGTTCAGGGGATGACCAGAGACTGCGGACATAGTACAGGAGATGACCGGAGACTGCGGACACTGTACAGAGATGACCAGAGACTGCGGACATAGTACAGGAGATGACCAGAGACTGCGGACACAGTACAGGAGATGACCAGAGGACACAGTACAGGAGATGACCAGAGACTGCGGACACAGTACAGGAGATGACCGGAGACTGCGGACATAGTACAGGAGATGACCGAGACTGCGGACATAGTACAGGAGATGACCGGAGACTGCAGACATAATACAGGAGATGACCAGAGACTGCGGACATAGTACAGGAGATGACCAGAGACTGCGGACATAGTACAGGAGATGACCAGAGACTATGGACATAGTACAGGAGATGACCAGAGACTGCGGACACAGTACAGGAGATGACCAGAGACTGCGGACACAGTACAGGAGATGACCAGAGACTGCGGACACAGTACAGGAGATGACCAGAGACTGCAGACAGTAAGGGGATGACCAGAGACAGGAGTACAGGAGATAACTGCTGACCTTTGGGGAGGGGGGGGGGAGCGGGTACCTGAATTTGACAGGTACCCGCTCTTACTTCCGCTGAGTTGTTCTTTGGTTAGTGTCCGCTCTGCAGCGAGACCTTACCTGTTCCTCTATCCAGCCTCGCGCTGTCTTACCGGCTTCTGTAGTGTGGGCGCTCGGCTTGACAGCCGGGTGCCCAGTGCGCATGAGCGAGAAGCACTGCGCTTTGTGATTGGTCTGGCGGCTTCTGGGACCTGTCATGTGTCCCAGGTGCCGCCTTACCATTCACAAAGAGCACCGCTTCTTGCGCATGCGCACTTGGCACCCGGCTGTCAAGCCGAGCGCCCACACTACAGAAGCCGGTAAGACAGCGCGAGGCTGGATAGAGGAACAGGTAAGGTCCCGCTGCAGAGCTGAGCGGCGGCGGACTGGTATTCTGACACGGCGGCGGTGGAAATACCGGACCGGCCGCTCCATATTCACTCCATAAAACGCACTGACACTTTCCCCCCTTTTTTGGGGGGAAAAAAGTGCGCCTTATGCTCCAAAATACTACCGTATTTTTCGCTCCGAAAAATACGGTAGTTAGCACTTCCACCTGGGAGCACTGGGGTCATTGGCTCAAATCCCAACCACGGCACCACCTGCCTGTAGTTTGCATGTTCTCCCTGTACCTGCATGGGTTTCCTCCAGGTACTCCAACCTCCTCCCACACTCCAAAGACATGCTGGTAGGTGAATTGGATCCTGTCTAAATTGTCCCTAGTATGTGTATGTATGAATGTGAGTTAGGGACCTTAGATTGTACGCCCCTTGAGGGTTAGGGACTGATGTGAATGTACAATATATATATAAAGCGCTGTGTAAATTGATGTTGCTATATAAGTACCTGAAATAAATAACAAGAAGAGCTCTTTGAGCCTCAGGGCACAGTCAATGTCCTTGCAGTAGTTTGATCAAGGAGTTTGCCAATCTGTTTCTGCATATTACATTTTTGTGGTGGATCACTTCCATACTTTGTGGTAAAAGGTGTCCCTCTCTTGCTTGATTGGATTCTAATGCAATTTTGGTTTCTCCTTTTTCCTGAAATTACAGTTCACACAGAGCATTTGGTTGCACAACAAAGGTACATAATCACATCAAATGTTTCAATTTCTACCTAGGCATGGATTCAAGCAGCAGGTCTTCTGCATACTGCATGTCATTTCATGAAAGCTCTTTTGGTTATAATAGCAATTTAAAGTGGAACTTCACCCAAAAGGGGAAGTTCCGCTCATCCTTCTCCTCCCCCCTCTTTTTGACATGTTTGCCATTTTTTTTTGGGGGGGGGGGGGGAGCGAGTACCTGTTATTGACTTATATAGTGCCAGCAGTTTACATATATATTGAACATTCACATCAGTCCCTAACCCTCAAGGGGCGTACAATCTAAGATCCAAAAACTTTCAAAAACATTTATACATACACATACTAGGGCCAATATACACAAAAACTAGTTAACCTACCAGCATGTGTTTGGAGTGTGGGAGGAAACCAGAATACTTCTAGAAAACCCATGCAGGCACAGGGAGAACATATAAAGACGACCCAAGTGCTGCCAGGCAGAAGTGCTAACCAGTTAGCCACTGTGTTGGTGGGCTGCACTCATGAAGTTGAAGATTACCTGAAGTGTTACTGAACCCACAACAGTAAAATCAGTCTGTATATGAAGTAAACCATGCTTGTTATACTCACTGTGGAACCTAAGGGGTTAATCCTCTGCATTGTATAGAAAGACTGTTTGATCCTGTCTTCTCTGATTCATCCCTTCCTTTTCTGTCTCCAATGCATCTGCCATAGTTTTGTGTGTAGTGCTGGAGAGCTTTGGGATTTTTTTTTTGGGGGGGGGGGGGTGCACCAGCTCTATTCGGACAGAGGGGCAGGGGTCATGCAGCCTCATAGGACAGTAAGAGGAGAATGAAAACTCCCCCTCCAAGATTAACTAGTGCTCGGCTGCACACTGATAGATATCACAAGATTGCTAAATATTGCTGATGAGAAAAGGTATTTAGCCCTTTATATTTACCTAAATAATTGCATTTCCATGTTGTGTGTACTGTGGAAGACTGGATATAGTGAATGCCGAGTGCTGGGTTTAGTAACACTTTAACTTCATAAACAACTTCTTTAAAAGTGGAGCTATCCTTCAGCCCTTTTGCAGCCTTTTCATTTTCTGTACACACGTTAAAATACACATCATAGGTTTAATGATTGCTTAACCACTTTAAATCCACCCTGTAGCAGATATATAAAACATGATTTTGCACTTCCACCATAGGGAGTGCATACACGACACTGGAGTGCCGCTTCTGCTGTGATTGGACAGAGCAGAGGCCAATCAACAGGTGCCGGCCAATGGATGATCGCCGGCACCCGTTGACCACCGAGGACACTGACAGAACACAGCTCTGCCTATGTAAAAAAAGGCAGAGCTGTGTTCTTTCAGCGGCAAGCTGCTTGATTGTCTTTTCCTGCAAAGCAGGGAATAAAATCTAGCAGATTGCCTAGTAACAACAGCACACACAGTACACAAACACTGGCTAGGCACACACCTTTGATCACCCTAGATCGGGTGTCGGCAACCCGCGGCTCCAGAGCCGCATGCGGCTCTTTTTCACCTTGGCTGCGGCTCCGGAGCACACTGCCCACCAGGTGACAGGCAATAGGGCAGCAATGGGCAAACTACGGCCCGGCGGACCTTTTAATCCGGCCCCGCGGAGCTAGGCTCCCGCTAGGCCCCTCTCACAGTCCGCCCTGAAGACCGGTGTAGCATGAAAATCTGTCTCCTATGAGGATCTGTCCCCCTCGACGTATCTGCGCATGTGCCGGAGATCACCGATCGGCTGCTAATGCCTGAAACTGGCACATGCGCAGATACGTCGAGGGGGACAGATCCTCATAGGAGACAGATTTTCATGCTACACCGGAACGGCGCGGGAACACGGCGAGAGGAACGCGTGGAGCAAAGGTAAGTGAATTGACACAGGGGGGACTTGGGGACTTAATATGGAGGGGGATGAATTACTATAGGGGGATGAATTACTATATGGGGGATGAATTACTATGAGGGATGAATTACTATATGGGGGATGAATTACTATGGGGGATGAATTACTATATGGGGGATTAATTACTATATGGGGGATTAATTACTATGGGGGATGAATTACTATGGGGGATGAATTACTATATGGGGGATGAATTACTATATGGGGGATGAATTACTATGGGGGATGAATTACTATATGGGGGATGTATTTTCAGTTTTAAAAATGTGGCTCTCAAAATAAATTTCAATCGTGGTTTTGGCGAGATTTGGCTCAGTTGAAAAAAAAGGTTGCCCACCACTGACCTAAGGCTATGATTGTGATTATGACGATACACTGTGGCCCTGATTAACCCTTTGCTTACTGGGCCCTTAAACCCCCTTCATGATCAGAGTGCTTTTTGCAATATATGCAGTGTCGGATTTGTTTTAAATGTTGCAATGGTTTTGCAGCTCCCAGTCTTTTTTTCCCTCTCGGAAACGGGTCCAAGTGGCTCTTTATGTCTTAAAGGTTGCAGACCCCTGCCCTAGATGTTTAACCCTTTCTCAGCCAGTGTCATTATTACAGTGAAAATGTATATTTTTAGCACTGATCACTGTATTAGTGTCTCTGGTTCCCACAAAGTGTCAGTTAGTGTCAGACTGTCTGCCACAATATCGCAGTCTCGCTATAAGTCGCTGATCACCGCCATTACAACGAAAACATTCCAGTATATATACATTTAAACCCTCCCTTACTCTAAAATGCAAAAAAGTACTTTAGTTCTACTTTTTTGTTCTCTTTATGAAGACATTAGGGGGCTATTGGACACTGATACCCCCTGAACTCCGGTTGAAGCTGATCAAGCACAGACTGTGCTCACTCAGCTCCTTTCCTGGCCATAGCAGTCGGGGTTTGACAGCTTTGATCCTGGAAGTGCTTAGAGCTGAGTGCTTCTGGGTTCACCCTACTCAGGAGGGATCAGTGAACAACCATTCACTGATCTCTCACAACTCTCCATCCTGACACCCACCATGAAGCCCCACACAGCTGCACTGATTTTGAAATGTTACAGCGGGTGTTTTTTCTTTTGAGTGACACCACCAACTCAGGGACACTTTTCCTTTCAGTGATGCCACCGAGGTAGGGACATTTTTTAATTCCAGTGATACTACTAACGCAGGGACATCACTGCCTCAGGGACATTTTTTCATTCCAGTGACACCACTACTACAGGGACATTTTTTCCTTTGCCACCATTAGCCCCATATTTGTGAACCAATTTCAAACTTGTCAGCTGGCTGCAGAGTACCACAAACATTTAGGTGTGCGCTGATATTGGCCCCATCCCCCTTCTCTACTCAATGGGGGCAGGTGGTGTTGGTCGGATGGTAGGCATGGTGAGGTTGCGGGTTGTTGGAGTTTTGGGGTGCTGGGGGGCACAATTTCCCATCTTTGCAATGGCCACTACATGACCATGTTCATTACTGTACAACGTGGGTGTCAAACTGGCGGCCCTCCAGCTGTTGCCAAACTACAAGTCCCATGAGGCATTGCAAGACTGAGTTAAAAGCATGACTCCAAAAGGCAGAGGCATGATGGGACTTGTAGTTTCACAACAGCTGGAGGGCTGACAGTTTGACACCCCTGCCTTACACCAAATATCACAGCCTCCAGGTACCCAGAGCCGTCATATTCCAACTGACCTATAATATGATCCTCAATATCCTGATCACATCTATGAACAACCAACCCACAAGGCATTCTTTTCAGTCACTTTCAAGTTTTGTTTTTGCGTTGAGTTGAAAAAGAAGCAATCAGGCAAGTAGGGACATCTCTAATTGTTCTAGATGGAGGTTGAAAGTGTTTGGACCATCAAACACATTTTTTTTTTT